TACTTGTCACAGAAGGTTTACAAAATCAATCTCCCTCCTACTTCTCTCTTCTGGTACCCATCTCCCTTCTTCAGAGACAAACACTGTTATCTGCTTCCTGTATATTTTTCCATATATATATATATAATACCTACTGATCGATCAATCAATAGATAGATAGAGATAGAGAGTGTGTGTGCGTGCCCTGGTGTGGCGCTGCAGGATAATGCACTGGATCACAAGGTCAGTTTGAACTGCAAGGTCAGCGGTTCAAGTCTACCAGTTGCTCCTTGGAAACCCTATACAGGGTTGCTATGAGTCAGAACTGACTCAACGGTACTTACCAAGTAAATACAAAGCAGCTTCAAAAAATTTGTGGAAAAAAGGAATTCAAAGAAAAGGAAAAACCTTACGGTTACAATCAATTGATGCAAGAAAAGTCAGCATCCATACATGACAAAAATCTCTCAGCAGAACAGAATTAAAACAAGACTTTACCTGGAGTCCTGGTGTGCCACAGCGGTATAAGCACTGGACCAAAAGGTCGGTTTGAACCACAAGGTTGGCAGTTCAAACTCACAACCACTCCTCGGAAACTCTATACCGGTTCACTGTAAGTTGGAACCAACTCAATGGCACTTAAGAGCAACAACTTGTTTGGGTGAAAAGTCTGATGTGTGGAAGCAGCCAGGACTCCTAAGTGTGGCTGTATCAGGTGTTTGTGGATGGCATCTATCCTTATGATCTAAGGTCAAGACTGTAAGAAGTCAGAAAAAGGCTGCTTTATGCTTAGTTGGATTTCATTTCAGGATTTGTATGAAAGGTAATGCCAGGGAAAGGCTGGATTCGGCTCATGGGAGAAGACTTTAATGAAGAGAAATGAATAGCACAGAGAAAGCACTATGCTTTGTCTTTTTGGGTTTTTTACATATGAAGTATTTCAAACATACCCAGAAGTAGAGAGGTGAAATAATGGAGCCTCACTACCTGGATGTAAGAGCCACTGCCCAGTGCTACACCAGGCAACACACTGCACTAAGAAGGCTAGACTGAGACCCATGGGCAGCCACGTACAATAGGAATGACGATCCTTTTCCCGCTTCAATCTCTCCTCCCACCCAATTATATATATATAATGTATATATATAAAATATCTGACACACTCTCAAAAGTATACGGAGCTTATACTTTATAGAGGATGGAACATACACAAGTTAACAAGCATATTAACCGATCACCACAGGGTACATTTTCATTGGTCATGATATATTATTCTTTTAACACACTCTTGGGAATCCAATTTGTGGACATTTTACTTAGTATTTTTTTAAAACTTTCTGCTCGAAAATGCGATCCTTATTTGTTGTGGGTATTAGTGTTGAGGTCGCCTAATAAAATACCTTCTTTTCAAACATTTCCTTTCGCCCTCGTCTCTCGTGGCGTTTAAATCCCTATCCCTTCTCTTCACAACTTTTTAAGACAGTGGCTTCTGTTCAGACTTCAGTTGATCAATGGTATGTTTTATTGTTTTTCCTCTCAACTCCAAACTAGAGAACTTCGCAGAATATACTTTACAGAAATTATCTGGAAGATTAAGAGTTCGTCTGGAGTTAAATCCCTCTCACTTTTGGATTTTCATAATTAACTCAGGAATAAATAAGATTATATGTCACATCATTATGCTTCTAAAACACACTGTGAATTTTAAAGTCACACCAACAATATACTTGGCAATAAAGGAGAATAGCTAAAAATAATAATAGCTTTCCTCATGAAGATGACCATATTCTAAGTTAAAAATGTAAGCCAGAATGTTCTTGGACAGGAAAGAGGGACTTTTCCTCTTGCTTTTTCCTGACCTCTTAGTTTATAAGAATAAACTTTAAAAAATCTAGGATCTTGATAATCTTCTTTCCCTTTTCCTATTAAAATATATATTCTATTGTGTAGAACTAGAAGCATCTCAGCATTTATGAATTTTAAAGAAACAGAAGATTCTTACATATATTAAACACAGGAGATATACAATTAGAAATGTATTTCTTATGAATTTTAAAGAAACAGAAGATTCTTACATATATTAAACACAGGAGGTATACAATTAGAAATGTATTTCAGGATGTATATGCTAAGAAAAGAAAGCAAGCAATGGGCTCTAGGACCAGATTTATTTATTTTTGCCATTCGTAGAAGGCACTTAATGGGTTAGAATTTGCTCAACAAGGACCCACGTTGACACAAAATACTTAATCTCCAGGCAGAAGTGGGTCTCCACTAGTGCAGGCACACAGTAGAGATAACTTTGCTATGACAAAATGTTGTTGTTGTTGTTGTTAAGTGCCTTCGAGTCAGTTCCGACTCATAACGACCCTGTACAGGGTTTCCGAGGCTGTAAATCTTTACCGGAGCAGAAAGCCTCATCTTTCTCCCACGGAGCAGCTGGTAGTTTCGAACTGCTGACCTTAAGGTTCACAGTCCGATTTGTAACCACGACGCTACCAGAGCTCCTTATGACAAAATAGTAGGAGGAAAATATGTTGGCTGACTTGTGCCACAGACATTGAACTCTTCTCCATGTCTTTCCCTTCTATTCTATACTCTTCAGCATTTCTCTCGACTTTATAATTATTTGGTAGATGGAAGAAGTTTCTTCAAAGAACTACATATTTATTAAGGATCCCTGGTAACCTCAGTTCAGCTGTTTACCCAAAGGCTGATGGTTCAAGCCACCAGCTACTCCTCAGGAAAAAGTCTGCTTCCGCGAAATCTGAAGCCTTGGAAACCCCGTGGGAATTTCTACTCTGTCCCACAAAGTCACTAGGAGTCAGAATCAACTTGACACCAAAGGGTTTTTATATGTTTATGATTAATTTCTGGTAGTTCCTTAGTTAGATTCTCATTTCTCCTCTACCAGATGACCATTGAGCATTGTTTTCCTTATAGCATTTTAAAGCACTCAGTTGCATAAAATAAAGATTCATTTGGTTCTAGAATACAAGACTTAACTTACAAAACATAAATGCTCTGTGCAGCCCACCTGCAAAACTGTACTCTATACTCTTATCAGTGAAAATGAATATAATAGTTTGGTTGTTCCTCAAAAAATTAAAACACAAAATTATCTAGCAATTCCATTCCTAGGTATATACTCAAGAGGTTTGGAAACTGAGTCAGAATGTTCATAGGAACATGACTCACAATAGCTAAAAGGTAGGAACAATCCAGGCATCCACAGACAGATAAACAGGTAAACAGAGATGAAGACCCCCAATAAGATGGAATGGCCAAGTGGCAGTATTGATGGACTCAAGTGTGGCAACAATAGTGAAGTTGGCCCTTATGCTGTGCATAAGGTTGCTATGAGTCAGTACCGACTCGATGGCACCTAACAACAACAACAACAATAGATATACAATGGAATATTACCTAGCCATAATAAGAAACGAAGCTCTGCTACATACTACAATCTGGATGGACCTTGAGGCACTATGCTAAGTGAAATAAGCTAGACACCAAAGGACAAATATTGTCGGATTCTACTAATATGAAACATGCAGAATAGGCAAACACACGGAGACGAGATGTTGTTATTAGTTGTTACCAAGGGCTACAGAGGGGAGGGTGCAGAGGTACTGAGCTTCACTCTGGGCTGATGAAACACTTTAGGGTGCTGACAGCTGCACATCATGTTGTCGTTGTTAAGTGCTGTTGACTCAGTTTCAACTCAGAGCGATCCTGTATCGGGTTTCCTTGTGGTTAGCAGCCCAGTGCTTATCCTACCAGTACCACACCAGTACATCATAATGAATATAATTAATGCTACTAAATTGTACACTTAAAAATGGTTAAAATGGCAAATGTTTTGTTATATATATAGTGCCATAATGAATAAACTGAACACAGTAAAAGTATACATGTGGACATTTGATTCTAAATATACCTTTGCTGATACAAACAAAAGCCATGTTTCAAACTTAAAATAATATATATATAGTAATAAGGAATACCCAGTTACACTGGGCAACACAGAAAGGATCACTTAGGATGTGTCACTGAGTCTGGGTGAGTGATCTCCTTCCAGCATCAGTGTGGGGGTAGGCAGAAACGGTCTGTACAATGGGGAAAACATTTTCCTACCCCACAAAAACTTCATGACCCCCTAAGAGGAGAAAGAGAGAAAAAGGCCATCTCCAAAACAAATAACCAGACAAAGTCACACTCTTGAGTTATTCGTTCATGGGTCCCCATCATCCTCAGGGGCTGCTCCCTCATATTTCTCACCTCATTATTGACTACACCCACATATGTTTATCTTTGTGGCTTACTTGAGGATTACTGTGAAGTTCTCAGAAAATACTATGGGCATCATGATTCCATGCTTTGCAAATAGTATCGCCTCTTCCAGGAAAACATGCACTTCGTTATGGACCTATTTGTGATCCTTATGTTAATTTATAATTTTATATTTAAATACACATATAAAGAGATTATGTTGGGGGTGGGTTCTTGGGTGACGTAGGTGGTCTGCACCCATTACTAAAGGTTGGCAGTACTGCACCCAGTGGCGCTGCAGAAGAAAGGCTGATGATCTGCTCCCACAAAGATTCTAGTTAAGAAAACCCTGCGGAGCATCTCTACTCTGTAACACATGAGGTCTATGAATAGAAACGGATGCAATACAATGTGGTTTCTTTTTTTTTAACTGGTGGGTATGAAAAGCTGTAACAAGAAGAATGTAAAATAATTTTTCTATCTGTTGGATTTCATGACATCTGGATTAACAGTGAAGAGACCACCATTAGGGAAATCGCTCATTGTTGATTGACTTGGAGGCTGGAAAAGTAGAAGATCATTAATGATCCTGAAATCAAGTCTAGATGTTAATTTTACCTTCTGTAAACAGATCATTTAGCTTGTTCTCATAAAGGAGAATAATTCATTGCATTAAGATGGGCACAAATCAAATTCAGTGATCATTACAATGAAAGTTTTCACATTAAGTTAGAAAAGTCAAACTTTACCTCTTGAAGTGATTTGCCAGGACTCCAACAAGTTCACCAATTCGACTCTCATGGGTTGGCTGTTTGCTGAAGAGGCAGACAATGAGGTCTTTGTTGTCTTTAGTATGGAATACTACAAGTTGGTCCTTTCCAGTGGAGACACTTAGACCAGTCAACTGTAAAGACAAAAGTCATGGGAAGCTGTTAGAATGGGTCTCAAAAGAAAGAATCTTAAAATACATTTTGTAATGTAAAAGGTAGGGACAACCTAAGCATCTATAAGTAGATGAAAAGATAAACAAAATACGATATAGATATACAGTGAAATATTACTCAGGCATAAAAACGTATAAAGTTCTGATACATACTACAATATGGATAAACCTGGAAGGCATTATGCCAAGTGAAATAAGCTACCCATTAAAGGACAAACATTGGATGAGTCTACTTACATGAAATATGTAGAAAGGTCAAAGCATACAGATGAGTGGTTATTGGTTGTTACTAGGGGCTGAAGAGAGGGGAGATTTGCATCTTTATCAAGATTCATGTAGGAGGGGTTGGAATCCATAGATGGGCTTTATGGAATTCAGGAATTCCTATAAATTATGTATAAAATAGAGAGGACATTTTTCTTGGCAGAGGGGCCATAGTTTACACTGGACTTTAAAAAATGTCTATGACTCTAAAATGTTAAAAAATAGCTTGAAGAGTGGAAAGTCTGGACTTTCTAGGTCTCTGCTTCAGCCCAACCATAGATCATTTCATTTGTAATGTGCCTTTCATCTATAATACAGACAACCAGGTGAAGTTAGGGCATTTTGTCATATAGAATGATATATATTTCCCATCACCTGCCAGAACACTGTTGAAGTAAGATAAATTGTAGGGTCTGTATGTGGACAAAGAGGCAGTTGTTCGAATAGAACATGGGAACACTGAATGGTTTAAAATTAAGAAAGGTGTACAACAAGGTTGTTTTCTTATATACAGAATAATAAGTATACAGTTGTATACTTATTCAACCTGTATGCTGAGCAAATAATCCAAGAAGCTGGGTTATATGAAGAAAACATGGCATCAGGATTGAAGGAAGACGCATTAACAACCTGCGATATGCAGATGATACAACCTTTCATGCTGAGAGTGAAGAGGACTTAAAATATTTACTGATGAAAATCAAAGAGCACAGCCTTCAGTATGGATTACATTTCAATGTAAAGAAAACAAAAATCCTCACCACTGGACCAATAAACAACATTCTTATCAATGGAGAAAAGATTGAAGTTGTCAAGGACTTAATTCTTCTTGAATCAACTATCAACACTCACGGAAGCATCAGTCAAGAAATCAAATGACGTATTGCGTTAGGCAAATCTGCTGCACAAGACCTTTTTCAAGTGTTGAAGAGCAAATATGTCAGCTTGAGTACTAAGGTGCGCTTGACCCAAGCCATGGTATTTTCAATAACCTCATATGCATGCAAAAGCTGGACAGTGAATAAGGAAGACTGTAGAAGAACTGATGCTTTTGAGTTATGGTGTTGGAGGAGAATATTGAAAGTGCCATGGGCTGCCAAAAGAACCAATAGATCCGTTTTGGAAGAAGTGCAGCCAGAATGCTCCTTAGAGGCCAAGATGGCTGAACTTTGTCTCTCATACTTCAGACATATTGTCAGGAGGTACCAGTCGCTGGAAAAGGATATCATGTTTGGTAAGGTCGAGGTTCAGAGAAAAAGAGGAAGATGCCCAACAAGATGGATTGGCCAAGTGGCAGCATCGATGGACTCAAGTGTGGCAACAGTAGTGAGGTTGGCCCAGGATCGGGCAGTGTTTCGTTCTGCTGTGCTTAAGGTCACTATGAGTTGGTACCGACTCGTGCACCTAACAACAACGAAAAGTTGAATAACTCTATCTTCTCACCTTGATTTCTTTTCTTCATAGCACTCAGCACCAAATAAATACCTGTTAATTGTCTGTTTCTCCTAGATACCCTCTGCAAAATGAAAGCTCCCCGAGAGCTGGGATTTTTGTTTGTTTTGTTAATTGTTATGACTATAGAGCCTGGACGATAGTAGGCACTTAATAGAGACTTGTTGAATGAATGAATAAATTGTATTCATTTTTATAGGGCCTGTTTCTCACTGTTTAAATTGTCTCTATTACTCTATGAACTGATGTATTCTGTTAACTCCATCTTTAATACTTTTCAGTATTCCTCAGTGTTTTTAAAGAACTACAGAAATCGTCCTTGAAAGTACAGCCTTTCCTTCCTCAGTGTTTACAAGTTCATTCATTTAAAAAAAAAAATCTTCGTTTTGAATGAAAGAACTTATAAACACTGTTCCAGATGCTATTCTAGGAAAAGTGGGGACACCACTGAACAAAACAGACAAAACTCCTACCCTCATGGGTCCCACAAACCAAAAACCAAAAAAAAAAAACCTAAACCCACTGCTGTCGAGTCGATTCTGACTCATAGCGAGAGGAGCAATCTCATCATTCTCCCGTGGAGAAGCTGGTGGGTTTGAACTGCCAACCTTGTGGTTAGCAGTCAAGTGCTATAAGTCAAACAGTATATTGAGAGGTAAGAAAATAAATGACAGCACAAGAAAACAAAATTTATAAATCAATATCCTTCATGAACATGGATGTAAAAATGTTCAAGAAAGTATTAGCAAATTGAATATAACAATATATAAAAACAATAATCCACCAGGACCAGGTGAAGTGTTGGTAATTGCTTATTTGCATCTCCAATACATTGTTTTGTGATGTTAATTTCCAACTTTTATAGAAATGGTATCATGGTGTATGTTGTCTTCTGCAAGTAGCTTCTTTCTTTCAAGAAACTGTTTCTATGATATATCCATATCTGTGACTCGGTCTGTAATTAATTTTCATGGCTGTAAAACATTCCATGATGTGAGTATGCAACAATTTAGTAATACAGTCATAGAGAAAAATATATTCAAGCAGGATTGTTTTGCAGATATGAACAAGGCAAAGAATCTACAACAGCCAAAGCAGTTCAGGAGAAAAATGAAGTTGGAGGACTCACACTATGTGATTATTATAAATACTAATAGTATAAAGCTAAGGAAATCAAGACAATGTGATAACGGCAAAGGGATAAAAAAGTAGGCCAATGGAACACAATGGAGAGTTAGAAATACTCTCACAGAAGTATGATCAACAGATATTTAACCAAGATGCAAAGGCAATCTCTTCAGAAAATGGTGCTGGAACGTTTGGACATCCACACGCCAAAAGAAGATAAGGCTCAACCTAAATCTCACATTTTCTAAAAATTAATTCAAGGATCATAGATCTAAGTAGAAATGGTAAAGGTCTAAAACTTTTAGAAACAAAAAACAAAACAAAAACAACAGCAGACAAAAATCTTTGTGACCTTGGATTAGGTAAAGAAGTCTTAGAAAGGACACCAAAAGCACCGTTCATAAAAGAAAAAAATCATAAACTAAACTTCACCAAATTAAAAAAAGAAGTCTGTTCCTAAAAGGGCACTGTTAGGAGAGTGCAAACACTAGGAGAAAATAGGCCAGGAGAAGATTTAAGAGGAAACCTAAAAAAATTCATGGAAAATTGCATTCTCTTTGAATTTCATTTTTCTAAGACCTTTTTGAAGCCCCTTCGTATTTGCAAAGCACATATTTGATAAAGGACTTGTATGAATGAAGATCACAAAAAGAACTCAAAACTCATAGGAGACATGAGTGGGCAAATAAACACAGGAAAAGATGCTCAATATCACTAGGCATTCGGGAATCAGAAGTTAAAACTATAATGAGATACCACCACAAGCTTCCGAATGGCTACAAACAAAAAAGCGACACCAGAAGAGTGGTGATACCAAATGCTGGTAGGAATGCATAGCGGCACAGCCACGCTGGAAAACAATTTGGTGGCTACTCAGAAAGCTAAGCAAAGAATTACTATGTAACCTGACAATCTTATTCTTAGAAATGTATCCTCGAGAATAAAAACATACATTCACACAAAAACTTATACATGAATGTTTATAGCAGCTCTATTCATAATCGACCTAAAACTGGAAACAGTCTGAAAAAAATCCATCCACACATGAATGGATAAACAAACTATGATCTATACAATTGATGTGGACTTAGCAAAAAAAAAGTAATGAACAAACAACGTAAATTATCAGTATGCAGGACATAGGTAACTCTCAAAGGCATGAAGTCAGCCTCTAAAGGTTATACATATTTATATGGCAGCTGTAAGAAGGTAGAACTGTAAGGAAAGAGCACAGATCAGTAGTGGTGAATGGGGAGTGTGATACAAGGGAGTTTTCTTTTGGGAAACGGAACCACTCTATCTAGCTGGTGGTGAGGACTACACAAACCTCTAACTACTAGACTCATAGACCTGTGGCGCTGCAGGTTAATGCACTGGACTGCAAGGTGAGTTTGAACTGCAAGGACGGTGGTTCAAGCTCACTAGTCGTCGCTCCTCGGAAACCCTATATAGGGTTGCTATGAGTTGGAACCGACTCGACAGCACTTAAAGCAACAACAACAATATAGATCTGTCCACCACCGCCACCAAAAGTCAGTGCTATTTATTAGATGTAAATTTAGAAAACAGCCCCCGATTGTTTTGATTTGTACATACTCTACTTAAGTGAATAAAGCAGAAGCCGGAGTAACTTCTCAATCCATGGATGGTTCTCTATTGCAGAAAATACCAAAGTGCCACCTCCTGGCCACCACAGGTGCTGTCAGTCTGTCTAGGAATCCCTATCAGCAGGCAGGGTCTCCACTGGGGGCAATGTGGAGTGCCCTGCAGCCTGGGCTAGGGAAGGAACTACCAAAGATGCTGGAGATATATATAGGCCATGTTCTTTAGGGATTCACACTCTGTTGGATCCATGGAAGAAAGAAATGCGTAGCAGCCTATGAAGGAACCATTAATTTGACAGTTTACAGACTTGGAATCCCATTTAGTTTATGATGCCTACACTTTACAGGTAAGGAAATGGAAGGTCAAAGAGGTGAGCTGATCTGTTGACCTGGAGCTGGAACTGAAGCTGCAGAATGACCCATCACGTCATGTCACGCTTCTTCCATTTTCAACATGTACATACGCACATGAGCAGTGTTAAGTATTCCTGATGTCAAATGAATACATCTTCA